ACCATTCTATGATTCTATGATTCTATGGTGGTGAACAAGGTGAGACAAGAAGCAATTCTGATTATTTTAAGTAGAAGCATGGAGCTTGCTCAACTAATTGCAAATCCTTTTGCAAAAAGTGGTGAGAGTGATTCCAACAAGAACTACCACTGAAGAGCTGGAGTGTGGCAGGGGAATGAGGACACTGGAACCAAGTACAGGTGCAGAAGTCAAGATAAGAAGGAACAAATATAATCATGCAGGGAAATAGTAAATACTATATTTAAATCCCCAATAATCTTGCAGATTCTTTATTAGTTTTCCTGTACAAAAAACATGGAAAATGATAACAAGTTGCATCAGTGGGTTTATGGTAGGAAAAAGAGACTAGATTAATATCCAGGATCCTAGAGTTATATCCAGAATCATTTAAGTGTGCCAAATTTTGAAGAGACCTCTGATTTGCAAGACCAGATCAGGAAAGAAATCCACTAGTCAGGACTCCTCCAGCCGCTGCCCAGTTCCTAGTTCATTTCTAATTAAAATTCTAGTCACCTACCAATGCCCTATAATTATATTTTTGATAGCATTATGCTTTTATCAGCATCAGTCAAGAATGTGGTAGGTGTACAGACAGGTCTGTGGCTATGCTGGCAAATTTTTATGGTAGTTCTGTTTGTTGCCTTAGAAGAAGACTGAGAGCTAAACTTAACTGCCCCTAAGGCAATGTGATTCTGTGCTTGGCTGGCAGGCCATGCTTTCATCCTGATGCCTACAGGTTAGCAATTTATCTGCCAGAGCTTGAGGTTTAATTGTTAGCTTGGGTTGAGCAACCTAGAATGTTGCTGTCATGGGTATTAAGTGCCTTATCAAACAAAATTTAATTCGTCGCGGTGTTGCTTAATATCCCAAAGTGTTTAAATCCAATGGTTTTTTCATTTCTCCAATGGTTTTAAATTTATTTGTTTGCATAATTTGCAAGTTAAATCAATTCACTGTCCATTTGCCTTGCCAAATCTTTACTGACTACATTAAAAAACACCTGTCCCAAGAGTACCTCACTATTAACATTCCGCTGCCTGAGAGCAGCTTTCGACTATGTTTTTTTTAACCTATCATGTAATCATTATTTACACTGCAATATTTTTTCCCATTAGTATATGGCACTTTTTTCCTTTATATGCAGGCTCTAAAAAAGAATACCCCCAAAAATGTTTTTGAAGATTTAAGTAGCCTCCATTGCTAGTCAGAAATGTATTTTCAGAAGAAACTAGAAAGAACAAGTGGACAAGAAGAGGAAGGTTGTTATGGAGGACAGGGTAGTGTAATTCTTTTACTAGCCTTCTCAAAGAGCTGTAACAAAACTCTCTAACAATTTTCCCTACGTTTATGTGGTGTTCACCAACCTGCAATTCTGAGTACCATTTCAGCTCTTTTAATAATATAAAAGGAATTGATATTGCAGATCTAATCTAATTTTCAGGAAGAGATATGAAGACTTTATATTAACTTTTTTTTCTATTTAATTTTTGTACTACTTTCTGTCAGCTTGGACCATATTTCATAATAGAAAATGTTGAGTGCTTCCTATGCACAATATAGATAAGGTCATCAAGATCTCTATTATTTTATTCAGATTCTACAGATGAATATAATGTAGACATAAATTAGGCAAGCCAAGCCTCAAATTGTGAAAAATGGACTTCATTTTAAGCACACTAGTATTTTCTTAGCAGTCTAGAGGACTACTCTGATGCCTGGGTCAGACACTTGCTTTGGTGCTTTCAACAGTCAAAACGTTAGTCTGAAATAATGGGAGTATTTCAATTTATTTCAATAAGACTCTAGCACAAGCCTTTAATTGCTTTGCAGTGCTCATGCTCCTTCCTCCTTAAAGGGTACTGGCATGATGGCCACTCCTGTAGATCCAAAAACCTGAGAAACAGAAACCCCTCACTAATGTGAAAATTTTGAAAATGTATTAATTGTCTATTATTTGTTAATTTTATTGGCATGATGATTTTTTTTTTTTTAATTGGAGGAAGTTCTGAGTACTTCCAGTCCTTTTACCTGCCACATTCACATCATCTGCATCCAAGCCTTCCCTGCACTGCTTAAATATTCTGTTACATCTCAGTGAAATGAGAAATTCTTCCTGATCCCCCTTGTTTATAGACTAATTTACTATTTTAGCCACTCTGTAAGACTTGGTATTGATAAAAATCCAAATGGGCATTTCTCACTTCTCAAAGGGTGGCTGAGTTTTACAGGAACCTGCCCTCCAAACCAAGCTCCTATCAGCAGGCTGTACTTTGCTGCCACCAGGACACAAGAATGACCCTTTTGGGCTTCCAACATATTACAATTCTATCCTACAAAGATGCAGAATGCAAGGCTTCAGTCTACAGAGAATTCTTAGTGAACTAAACAGAAGATTATTAATTTTCCAATGAACCTGAAACTTACACTGATTATATTTTCCACATATTTTAAAAATCAATGTCTGTAATATATATTAGCCTTATTCTAATTCAGTCCTACAGGAACTACTAAGGGATTTTGATTTGTTTGTTTACCAGAGTGGGCTAGTGACACACGGGATCTGTCCTCCATCCAGCTTAACCCATAACACGGCAGACCTCCATCTCCTCCTTACCTGGTAAATCATCTTCGTCTTCACTGAAAACATTTGGATTAAAGACAGGCAGGTTAATGTAGTCCATTGAAATCTTCCGCACTTCTGGGAGATATATTGTCATCTGCCTGGGCTGAAGATGCAGCAAACTGGTTTTATATATTACTGGACAAAGAGTATAAGAAGAAATAAAAAAAAAAAATTTAAAAAACTGTTGCACAAAGAGCATCTAAAACCAAAAAAGAATCAATTCAAAGCAGACAGGCGGGTTATAACTATTTTTATTTAATGTATTAATGAACAAATGCATATATGGCCCATTCTTAACCAAATCACTATGTAGCACTTTGCATAAACAGGATAAAAGAGATGGCTACTTTCAGCTATTTCTCTTTAAACAGAAGCAGCATCTCTGTAGTTAAATAATCTGTAGAAATAGTGAATTGCTTATTTTTTGTATTCACATAGGTTTTTATGGAAGGAAAATAATTTTTCCATTCTACTTTTGGAACTCTTCACCACAGCATGCTACCAACTTATATGAGTTCAGGGGAAAACTGGAAAGCTCTCAGGAAGGAAATCTGTTGAGGGTTACTATACACAAAGAAACCCCTCCTGGCTCAGGAAGTTCAAACCATTGGAGACTGGGAGACCATTTGAAGGAAGTATCACCACACACTTACTCTACACATATATGCTTTCCTACATATCTGTCCCTGATAGTGACAGAATTAGAACAACCTCTGGTTTGAACTAGTAGGGTCATTCTTACGCTATCTTTTGACAATCATTGCAAATGCAGATGTCAGAAATTTGTAAATTACTTGAAAAAATGTGGCTGGAACAAATCTGAGGGTTTCCATAAGACTTCATTAAATAGAAGGTGCCACGGCCCTACAGAAGTAGCACTGGTTGTCCCCAGGGTGACAACATCCTGAGAGGACAACCTGTGCCTGGAGACTGGGCCAGAGAAGTTCCTCTCCCCAGTAGCTGGGACTCCATCCCTTATCTGACAGCAGTCCATATAGCCACAAAAGATTTAACTAACTCTGCATCCAGGGCACCACTGTGTAGTCCTGACCTGACTTACATAAAGCAACACAGGAAAAAGTAAGTTTGTAAAACTCCTATACGTGAATTAGTATTTCAATTCAGAGCTCAGTTCTGCTAGGTGGTACCCTGTTCTTTACTCAGCCTTCTTCCTTTCAACAGGACTATCTAGGGAGAAATGGCGTACACAGGAGAAGGTCAGGAGACTACACAACCGCTATTTTTAATGAAGGCCACCAATTTACTGATGCTCCAGCAGGAGAACCATATGATAAGGCTGTGTACTGACTCGAAGAATCTTAAGCACTGTAAGAGTTTTTTAAACTTTATTTTGGTATAATTAGTAGCTAAATTACTACAAAAAACTGAGTTTCAAAAATATTTCTGTTACAGTAACTTAAACCCCACAGTTTTTATAGTCTTGCAAAAATTTTCTTTATTCATATGGGTTTTGTTCAAATAAACTGTAAAAATAAAGGTCTGGCTTTGACTGTTAATTAATCTTTTATTACAGCTGAGAGTTTTAACATTTTATTGATCATCTTGTTATTATATTTATAGATTTTAATCTTTCTTAGTTACAGTGAATTTTGTAAAATCTAATTCCTACTGTCCACAGAAAATAAATGCTTTGTTAAAGAAGCCTTTTGATCACTGAAAAAGAATCACATGGCATAAGTTTCTTGTTTGTTAGAAAGAGTTTGACATGCATAAAATCAATAGTTTACTTTTACCTGCACCAAGGTTAGTTGGTAGGAAAGCAGCCAAACCCACGATTTTAAATTTTGTTCCCCAGATATTAGATGTGACCTGAGCAAGGTAGTTGTGCTGCAAAGCAAAAACAAGATCATTTGCACCTAATAAAAATCTGTATCGAGCTCTAGTAAAAACCTGCAGAGCAATCAAGCTATTGCAAGTGACAATACAATTTCAGCTTCTCTTGTTTCTATTTTATTGAAACAGCCTGATGTGCCTATGTAGCAACTGTTAAACCTGGCCATTAAAAAGTCTCATTTTGATATCTGAACACCATCACAAATTATGTATACAACAGCCACATAGGCTGATTAAAGCTGTTGAAGAACTGAACAACATGATGGCTGCTTAGTGAGAACAGGTCTGTTTTCAGATGCTTGCTTCTACTGCACAAGAAGAGTGTAGCTATTCTGTATTTCAGAAAGTAATACACCCTGCCCTTTGGTTCTGTGCTTATGAACCAATTTATAGAACAATAAATAAGACAAAAATTAATTACTCATAATGACAAACGTATTTTTCCTGGAGCTTCCAACCAAACCACTGCTTCAATGGTGATCAGATTAAGGGTCCGAAAGACCAAAAGATTTTCTCAGAGGCCCAGAGTTACACTGTCAATATCAGGAGCAGTCTCTAGTCTCCTGCCCTATCCACAGGGCTTTTGGTCCTAACTACTGCTGCTATGTAAGTGACCTAGAATGTTTCAATACAAAGGAAAAAGTGAAAAGACAGAACAGAAAAAACCAACTGAAATGAAACAAAACAAAATTAAAAGAACATAGGCTGGTATTAACAAAACATGTAACTCAGTTCTACATCCTGCTAAGTTTCATTTACCCACAGGTCATGAACATAACTAAGAGCACCAAGTGCTTCCTTGCCTTCCTTCCAATTAATGCTGTTCCATGTTCCTGATCTAGTTGAAGATGTCCCTGCTCATTGCAGGGGGTTTGGACTAAAGGACCTTTAAAGGTCCCTTACAACCCAAACCATTCTATGATTCTACAATTTATGAAACAGAAAACATGTGGCCCTCTGAAGTAAGCATTTCCTTCTCTCTGTGATTCCTAGCAAAGCAGAGAACTATAGTGGCATTAGGACAGCTCTGAGAAACTGAAAAAGAAGCATTTTCACATATACTTTCAAAGAGCCAACAACATCATCTAGAATAAAACCTTTCGCATGGATTCACATTGACAGAAATTAGTGGTGCCAGGATTTACCAAACAATGCCTGATACTCTATCGACACTTTCAAACATTAACATTGAACTGGAAGATGCAATTCTCTAGTTATACCATTTAGTTACTGTAACTAAATAAAAAACTTCTAGCAGAGATCACTGTATTTATATCACAACTTGCTGCCTCTGGAAGGAAACGCATTTGAACTTAGGTCTGGTAACAATGTGCACAATACCTGAGTAATATCTTCTAAAGGAAACTCTCTTCGGGTTAGGCTTGGCGAACCAATAGAAGGTTTCCTTATTGGTAACCTTGGCGATCTTGATATCTCCTGCGCAGCTCGTGACATCTTTGGAGATTTGCGAGCTTCTATATTGATTCTGCATATAAAGCATTAATTAGAATCATCAATGGGCACACACAAATGTACAAAATTCATGTCTTTGAATGTAAAGATCTAATGAACTGATATGGTGTCCTCTAAGTGACTAATGAAGATTGTAGAGTCTACAGGATGGAGAGTTACAGGTCAAATTTAAAGATATATAAGGCCTGACAGACTTGCAGTAACTGGATGCTTTCTGATTTATTTAACAAATCTTACAGCAGTTCTGCCAGATAAAATAAATACTCCACAAATCCATAAAAAGATGTAGGGCTGAGCTATTTCAGCTACGCAGACTTTGACCAAAGCTTCGAGGAATGGAAACATGACACCTCAGCTGGCAGATCTCCACGTTAGCACAGCCAATCAAGGCTCCACAAACTTTGTCAATACTCTTACTTTAAGTCAAAAGTTATTCTTACCTCCCACTATACAAAGGGGGTCATGAATAAGAGATCAAGCACCTGAAAAAGCTCATTGGTAGAAAAAATAGTGAACAAAAGTTACATTTCAAAAGTATGGTCTTAAAAAAAACAAGGACACAGGATAGTTGTTCTTCCTGCACCACTTCAGTTTTAGGCTCAGGATGGTTCTTTTGTCAAGTACTACTTAAACTAAACCTTCAGTATTTCACACACTATATTCACATATATAGGGATGCATTTGCTTTGCCTCATACTAGGACAAGTTCATAATATAAGGTCTTTGGAAAAGTGTCAACTGCAGCTAGAAGGCATCAATCCCATAATTTGAAGCTGGCAGATAGATGTCAGTGCCTATGAGAAGCATCACAGACATCACTGAGGCTCTGTGCAGGTGGAGGGTTGTCTATGCACATAATGAATATAATAATAAGCTTATTTAGCATATCAATGCAGAAGCTTGTCACCCTAGAGTTTAGGAGGATCTGTTTGTTGAGGCTCCCTTGCAAAGTCACCACAGCAGCTGTGCCACCTGTGCCAGGATCTGTGCAACCTATGCATGGACTTATGAATTTGAAAAGACCGCTGAGGAAATAAAGGCTTTAACTAGACCAGGGATCCTAAGCACAGAGCACATAAACACACGGATTGTCTGACAGACAAAATGTATCCTATGGTGGCAAGAGTTTACATGTGGCAAAGGCAGTGGTGGGAGAGTTTATAAAATCTTTCTTTGAGACTGCTTGGGGAGAAGTGGTGCTCTATTATTTCCCGTTACCTTTTGCCCCAGAACCTTCCCCAAAGTCCACCTCAACACCAATCTCTGAGATCACCCCAGAACTGCACACTGTAGAGGACCCCACTCTTCCAGAGGACTCCTATCTGCCCAGAGGAGTTTGCTTTAAATTTTATGAGGTGCCACAACAGTGTTTGAAGAAAAAAAAAAAAAAGAAAAAAAGAAGAAAACCTGGGGAAAAAGAAGAAATATCCAAGAAATTATTACCTGGGGAGTTTGGGCGATTTGCTAGCTCGACTGATTTTGGGAGATTTCTTTGCTGCCCAGTCATCACTCAGTTCAATATCGCTGGAGTCCGAGCAGTTGCAGCTGTCAATCACAGTGGAAATCAAGCTGTTTCCATAGATTTCATCTATTAAGACAGGCCCCAGAAAATGTAAGTGTTGCTTCAGAAAACTGATATTAATTACCACTATCAGTTATCAGAAGCATAAATCCAATCCACAGGCAGTAGTTGAGATAAAACTACGCAGAGAAAATTAACTATTCTTCACCCTCCCCGGTATAAACTCAAAATTTCCAATAGTTCAAACTCAAGAGAAACATGATTCAGAGGGGTGAATAGCATTCACTTGACTTCAAAATTGAGACTAAAGAATGTTTTCTGCTAATTAGCAATCTGTTCCCCACTATTCAAAATAAAAGTTCTGTTTTGTAAAACAGAAGAAAGCACAGTATAATTTCAGAGGCTTGAGCCTAGGTTATACTAAAGATTTTTTTTGTATCAGAAAAAAAGAATCAGATGCCTCCTTCTATGTTGCATATATACATTTTCTTTAACTCTTCAGGATTTAATATCCAAAGTATTTCTAAATAATTTTTTTATACAGAGCAATAACTCGATTCTACCTGCTTTTCCATCTGTTTTAGGATCCATGATGACAAACTCTGGCCGCAATTTGCTGATACGACGTCCTTTCAGGATAGGCACCAGTCCCCCCAGGTATTCCAGGTACAGGGTATAACATGGACCACCAACCTCTGGGTCATCTTCTGTCCGCTTCATCGTGCAGTGAAGCCGTTCATTGCCAGCTGTTGGGTAGCTGACAAAATCTCTCATATTGTTTGGGTCTGGGATAGGAGGCTTAATTATATGAAGGAAGGAAAGAGAAAGTTTCCTATAGGTTATTGGTTTTCAATTATTTTTTCTGTGGTGACTTAGTCCCAACACAACTAACTAAATCTGAACCCGACTCTAGCCTGGCAGGTCAAGATTAGTATAGGTCACTGTGTGAGTTATGCAGGACCCACATGCAAGCTAGAGTGGCTGTGTATTACTTAGTTAGGCCAAATACAGCTGTAAACAGAAAACACAAACTAGTTACATCAGAGGGAGGTTGAACCTGTGGTTAGAGCACTGAATTAAACCACAAACCCGTATTCAAGTCCCAGCCCTATCACAAACTTCTCTTTTAATCTCGGTAATGTGGTCAAGTCTAAGACTCAGAGTATCTTCTCTCTTGCTGGCCCTCCAAGTGACCCTGGCCACTCAGGTTAGTACTGGTACACGCTATGCCGCTATTCTACAGTGGTACCAGCTCTGGAAGAAGCTTGTAATTCTTACTTCACTTCCAAGCACATGACCTATCTTTGCTGAACACCTATTTGAGTGCAACGTGGAGAAACATGAGCACAAAGCTCAGGGTGGGTTACTTTGCCCTGCTTCCCAGCACTCTATATTAATCCATGAAGAGCTCAGTCCTAAAGCAGTTGGCCTGCTTTTGTCTAGGACAATATAGCCCGTACAACACAAATACTACTGATGTGTGTAAGTCAATACAGTTTCTTTCAAAATGAAAACACAAGAAAGAAAAGTAGGGGAAAAAATAAGCTTTCTTAAAACCTGTCAAGATGGATGTGGGTTGAGGAGTGATCTATAATGTAGTCTTCAGACTGGAGGGGGAAGAGGACTGTATGCAGGGAAGAGGGTGACTTGCCAGGCACTGGAGGCAGAGCTGACAATGTTGGTGGGAGTATGTGGCTGGGGAAGAGCCAGGGTAAAGTACAAAGCAGTGCTGAGGAGGCTCCAGAAACACCCATGAAACAGCAGAGGAAGGCAGCTTCTGGGAACCCTGCTTCAGCCTCTCAGCTATGCAGCTCTGTGATCACTCTTCACCCCGGCATTCCCTCTGGGAGGTGACAGAAGGGTTGTCGGCAATAATGTGCCCCTGAACTGCCTCTGCCCATTTCATCCCCGTCACAGCTCCCGGCCCTGCTACAGCCAACTGTTGCCTTCATCCCATCCCTTCCCCTCCCCTGCCTTCCCTAACAGCCAAGCAAGCGTCACTGATTCTCTATAGAGAGCTGCAGGGGGTGGCTCTGGGACAACATGGAAAGCATCCTGGGGAGAAGCAGAGATGCTAGAAAGAACTGAGACCCACTGGTTTGTTAAATGTGTCTTTGGAGATCGCTGAGTTATGGTTACAGCAAGGTATTTATTCTTCTCTGGCAAATGAAATGTTTCACAGTCACACAAATTGCCCTCATTAGCAGTACCCAAATGGAACTGTGCTGAATCATTATTTTACAGACATAATTTGTTCTCATTTAAGCTGGGCCAACTCCACTGATTTCAAATTAGTTATTCTAGCAGGTTTAACAAGGACCAGAAACTGTCTCAGGAGAATACTGTAACACATACACAAAATATACAGAACACAAAAATGTATGTTTGAATGTAGGGCATTTACCAGTGCTCCGGCTTATAATGTGACTGAGGGCAAAATCATGAAACAAAGGGGTTGAGCAGATGGCTCTGCTAGTTGTACAGGAAAAGGAATAATATCTGGCTCATTTTCTCATAGCATTGTTGAAGCCGTATGGTTAGCAGAACTCGCTGTCAGCAGAAATATTTGGGCAGCCACAGGTCTTAGGTATAAGTTTCCTGGCATTATAAGGGCTCATGTAACACGTAGGGAGGCAACAGTTTTATGTGAATCTCTCCTATAACCATGACACAGTGTTATCATCAGTATGAGCTTCTTCAGAAGTCTGTGAGTCACCAGCATATTCTACCCTTGGGATGTCCTTGGAAAGGCCATTCCCATGGAATAATGCAGATCAGCATGTGCAACCCCTCTTTTCAGATTTTAATAGGCACCAAATGAATCAGTGGGCTCTTAAAGAGGACAGGAATGACCCTTAATCAAGATTTAAAATTATAATTATGGTAATTATAGTATCTTATAATTTATCCACTGTCACTTAGGAGCAACATGGCAGAGGAAATCAAGCAACCGTTCCTCCTCTTCACACACACACACACACACACACAGACGTTTCTTTCCGTTTACCTTGATTGTTGGTATAAAGGCTGTGGTGAGGTACGAGCAGAGCCGAGGGGGCAGGGTCAGTTTGCTGATATCCTTGTCATCCCGCAGACAGCTAGCGATGGTCTGCTGGCACAGCAGCTGCAGACTGGAGACCCTGTGCTCAACTCTGACAACATATAATGCAGGTCCAGAAGCCATCAGCAGGCGTGAGTCCCTGTGACCCCAACAGATTGAGATGATGGGACGCTGCATGGAGAGGAAAAGGATACAACTTTAGAAGAGTGCATACTTTCTCCAAGATAGTAGAACAGCAAGTGATCACAGGAATTCAGCACTGATCATGTTACCCTAAGTCCTCCAGAAACTTAAAAGTGTAGGTTGCTGCCCACAAAAAGGAAGAATGTGAACATCTGAAATTATTGATAACAGTGGTCATGTTTATACAGTGCTCTTCACTCACAAGGCTGAAAGATTGTCACACAAGAAATTGTCTACCAAATTCATTGCCTAGATAGGATGAGTGACACAGTGTTAAAAAGCAGGATCTTTGGATGCCCTAATCTGAAAAGGTCAGGGTCTCTTCGGAACATCTTTGCTCTTCACAAGATGCAGCAAACAAGAATTAATTATACAGATGATAAGGGTCAAGGCACCATCAGTAGTAACTTTTATCTTGTCCTCTCTAGTAGTACAGTACCCAGATACCTGGGTTAGATCAACCCAGAAGTTCCTAATCTAGTCTGGGGAAAAAAGCTTTCCCTTCAGTTACAAATTCATGATGCTTAAAGGTGAGAAAATGAGACAAGATGTTTTTATGTGAATGACAGAAAGCAGAATGGGGCTGCACAGCACTGTATTAATGTCTATCATCAAGAGTTGGACAAAACAACTTTTGCAGATAAAAGACTTTCTCTGCTACGCCATCTTATCCTAGATTTAAATTTCAAGGAAAATATTGTTTTTAAACTGGGAGGAATGAAGAAGCTTCATTTTCATTCCATGTAGGCAGCACCACACATACTTCCATGGAGGCACTAACCTTCAGGCTGACTGATATGCAAATGGAAAGCAGCAACATGTGAACCTTGTGATTTTCACAGTAATTGCTGAAGGCATTTTGTAGTGGAGAACTTCAAAAGAACTGAGAAATCCTTTGTGTACCATCAATAATTATTACATGGCTTCTCATAACCATAATCTGTGGGACAGAGCCTTAAATTTGATGAGATCACATAAAGTACCCCTTACTGATTGGTACTTCCATAATTTGAGAGTGTGGCTCAGCCCTCATACCGCCTGGCAATAATGAGAGTTGAAGCTGCCTGCAAAATAAATGCAACTGAAAAGGCACTGACAAAAGTTCGGTACCTGCCACATCTACTATATGACAGCCTGAGAAAGACAGCAGTAGAAGTGACCCCGATTTCCTGAAGGGCTGAAACCAGGCATGGGCAGAACTATCTACCTAATGGTTACCATGGGATCCAAACCACATCCTTCTGTTCACCTTGCATCAACTAAAGCTCACCTATGAATACAGTGAAGGAACAAACAAGTATGACTTAAACACAAATGTTTATTTATTGGATAGAGTTTAACGACAGAAGAGAAGCCTAATATCCCAGCTACCACAATACACAGCACACCTAGACAGCCCTACCGCGAAGTCTAGTACTGCAGCTATTATAACCCAATATATCACACCCAGATATGCCTCTCTTCATCCAAATAAGAATCAAGTGAAATGACTTCTCTCCTCAGGTTACTGCTGCGTGCAGAGAACAGCAGAAATGTAGACAGCACCAGTGCAAGAACCTTTGCAATCCTAAACATATTCCTAAGTAACAGGTTTTTCAGAAGCTTTGAAACGCTGGGTGGGACCTCTGGCAACACAGCACTGTGGGGCTGGGGAAGAGCAAAGTCAGGAGTTGAAAAAACATCGTCTCACTGCATGATTTCACCACAGTTTCCCAACAGGCAACCATAGTTCAGCCATCATCTAAACATGTCTGACTCTCTTATATTCTATTTATGTATTTTTATGTAAACAATATGTGAGTGGGTGCATCTTTAAATACACACACACACACACACACACACACACTACCTAGCGGATGCCCCTTATTTGTAAATCACGACATTTCTACTCTTCCATTTGTACATTTAGTCCCCCCACATACCTCACATGTTTTAATCTTATTTAATCTAATATTTTCAATCTCATCAAAGAGCACTTGTACCATACTGGTTTGTCTTTGCTTACTGATTCACCAGACACACCTTGCCTTCCTTTTCTATGAAATGGTCAGTCCCCTGGTACTCCTCAAGCCTAATATCCAGCAACACTTCATTTACAGTGAAGGGCTAAGATTTAGGATGAGGTTCAGGGAAAATTAGCCCGTCATTACAGGCTTGGAGAAATAAAAGATCACTCAAATGCCAGATATGATCTGACCTTTAAATGTACTGCTCCAATAATATTTTGCAATAACTACACTTCCCACTCTTTC